CAAAGTCCTCTTTTCTGATGAGAGCAACTTTTTTATCTCATTTGGAAACAAGGACCCAAAGTATGGAGGAAGAATGCAGAGGCCAATCAAGCACAGTAATCCCACGATCATTGAACCAGTCTTTGGTGCTTATATGCATGCTTATACTATTCAGAGGTCCGATATTGTTCTATATACAATCCTTGTTTTATTGATTGCATTTAATCTTCTGAGATGGTGGATTTGGGGTTTTCATGAGCTCCACACCATAATCATCACAATTATGACAAACCACAGCTTGAACTATCTTGCTTTGCATGTAAAGAGTCTTATCTCATATATTAGTTTCACCTTTTAAGTTGCGTTACTGTAATAAATTAACTTTTGCACGATATTCTAATTTTTCGAGTTTCACCTGTAGTTGACTGAAAAATACTGAAAGCATTTTATTATAGCAATACCGGAAGGTGAAAGCAAACTACAGACATTCCTGCACAGCTAAACCATTTAGCTTTTTTATCTGTGGAATGTGAACTGGCAAATGAAACTTTAGAGGTGTACTATAATTCACTATTTTGCAATAAGGAGGCTTTAAACAAGCCATTCTTTATACAATGTTTGCAGATACTTTAGTCAGAAATATGAGGGGTATGGGTAAGTACACACAGAAGTATATGGGATGTTTGTGAAATATTTACAGCCATACTGACGGGATTTTAAAGGACTGAAATGACTCCACCCCAGTTTCAGCCCTTGCATATTTTGGAATACATACAATTAGTCCTCAATTTTGATAATAACAATTACATTTTAAAAACAAATAATAGTTTTCTACTTCAGAAGTTGAAGGAACCAGAGGGTTGTCTACTATGTCTTCATGGTATGTCAGGGTTTGAAAATAAAATCAAAGTAGATATTCAGGGAAACATTTTTGGCAGTAAGGAAGCATAGTTTTCAGATGCCTGGTACGCTGCCATTTAGTTTTGAAAAAATGCTGAAGTTAAAGGCTGAACAAAACACTTCTGTGTTGTGATGTAGCATCACATGTTTGAAAAACAGTGCTAAAGCAATTTTTGCTGCAAAAACTTTCTCTTATTTTGTCTTTTGGAATAGAATAGAACAGAAAGGGACCTTGGAGGTCTTCTAGTCCAGCCCCCTGCTCAAGCACAAGAACCTATTCTATTTCAAATGAGTGACTGTCTAGTCTCTTCTTAAAAATCTCTAGTGATGGAACATCCACGATTTCTGAAGGCAAACTCTTCTACTGGTTAATTGTCTTCACTGTTAAAAGTGAATTAATTCACTTAATTCTAGGTTGCTTCTCTCTTTGATAAGTTCCCAACCATTATTTCTTGTCCTGCCCTCTGGTCCCTTGTAGAATAATTTGATCCCCTCTTCTTTGTGGCAGTCCCTCAAATACTGGAATACTGCTATAATGTTGCCCCTAATTCTTCTTTTCTTTAAAGTAGCCAAATCCAAATCCTGCAGGCGTTCTTCATATGTTTTAGTCTCCAGGCCTTTGATCATCTTAGTTGCTCTTTTCTGAACTCTTTTCAAAATCTCAACATCGCTTTTGTAGTATGGTGACCAAAATTGGTTGCAGTATTCCTGGTGTGGTCTTAATCCAGGTGTGGATTAGAAAGATATAATTTGGGGGGCGGGATTTTTATCCTTGAGTTATAAAGTTTTGAGAAAAAAGGTTAGTGAATCCAAGCATCATCAAAGTGTGTGTGTGTGTGTGTGTNTAAATATAAATACACACACACACACACACACACAGTGTAAGAATATGAAGCCCCGGATTAAATTTGCAATTGACAGCATTAAACAAAATCTTCCTTTACTTTCAAAGAAGTAGAATTCCCATTTAGGACAGACATTGTTTCCAGTCACAGTATTATCAATTTCTGAACAAACAAACAAGTGAACACACACTGGTCTTTATCTGGATTAAAGTGCACTCCTGTTCGTTCATGAATTGATATTTCATAGTCTTTTCTTGCAGGTTCCAAAATATATAGGGTATGGATAATATACTTTGCTAGATTTAAGAGAGAGACTGATGATTTCAGGAAAAAATAAGCATATCAAAAAAGATAATGTATGCCACCCTTTTTATCATTAATGCATATTTTCTAAAAGCAGAGCAAAAATATCAGTTTAGCCAACTTGCTGAAGCAGGGCTAATTCAGTGGTTTTATTCAAATAATTTAACAACCAGTTCTCTGCCTTAATGATTTTTTGCAACAACCAGTTCACCAAACTGCTCAGAAACTTAACAACTGGTTCTCCCGAAGTGGTGCGAACTGGCTGAATCTCACCACTGGGCTAATTCCATTACTTCACAAGCAAGTGTGTAGGCTATGTAAGCAAAAACGAGTACAACAATATGTGTTCGTCAGTCAGCATATGAGACGCATATCCCTTGGAATATATTTACTACTCTTAATTTTTTTAAAAAAAATCCTTCGATTTCTGACAAATCATGAGGTGAAAAGGTCTGTTTCCAGACTTGTTAAATAACTTAAATGTATTTTTATTTCAACCAAACATAATGTTTACTCCAAACAAGCAATTTATTTTCTGTTCTTTTTGTTCTCAAATTATATGAGGACGAGAAAAAAGACGGCCTCAATTCATCAAATTATCTTAAAGAATAGTATGACATAATGAAAGCAAATATTGATGCTGCAGCAATTTTTCTTATTAAGAGGGCCCCATAACAACAGTTAAAGAAGTAAGT